ACTCCTTCAGGTGTGGGACGCTTCGTCTTTCCTTTTAGGACCAAAGAACCAGGTCCATATATTTTTTTGGCAATGATTGCATCTTCTTCATTCACGTTGCAGTTCTTGAACAGACCAGATCTTACTGTAATACGAAACGCTTGAACTCCTGGTGCACCAGCCATATGATACACCAATTGTGCGCGATTAGCCCGCTCAACTTGTTTATCAGTGAACCCTTCAATATTCTCCCGTACCGTCTGTATGCCACAATAATCGGAATCAGAATAGCTAATTTTTAAAATTCTACCACAGAAAATAACACCACATTTATGGCATTCGGTGTGTGCGACACGAATCGCGTCACAGTCACCATTTCCGCATTCTCTGTATTCACATTCAGAGTATTCGGATCCTTCATCACTCTCCGCCCTACCATCGGGTACGAAAGTATGCACATACCTCATTCTCTGTTCCCCCTTCGTAACGATGAAGGAGTTTTCAATGTCAGCGTCCATAATGACACGAAATCCAAGCTTCACAAGCTCGGATAAACTATCAAGGTTACATTGCGCTTCAGTGTCTAGCAAGCAAGTGTGTCCTTCGATAATACTTGATTCGACCTGTTGATGCAGGTCACGTTGGCCAGTGTTTGTACCGTAGTTGAACATGTAATCCAGGTCAGACACAGTGCCCGGTTTGGCGTAATCTTCGTTCATTCGTAGGCTGAACGTAGATCCAGAATCAAGATGTACACCAAGATCAATATCCCAGTGCTTACTTCCATTAGATTTGAAAGGTTTCTTGTTGTCTTTGGTCCATTGAGAACAGTGCTTCAATGAATCCATCTTCGAGGTCGACTTGTAAATTTGCATGTTCAAGCTTCCATTGCTGACCATGCTGTCATCGTCCTTGAAAGTACTGGCAGCTTCTAGTTGTGCTTGCCATTTCTGCATCAGCAACTCTCCCCTGTCTTCAGTGGAGATTGCTTTCTTCTTCAGAATCGGTCTTACATGTACTTGTGCAAGGTTCCATCCTGTAATTCTACCATTAGATTGTCCATCAGCAATAGACCTGCCTCGTACCACATACGAACCGAGTACATCCGTAGTACCAGAAGTGCTATGTCCACTCCTGTCAACAACAGCTCGTTGCATATTGCTTCGATGTTGTTGACCAGTTGATTGCATTCCAGTGACGCTAGACGCGGCATCCGACTGCGCTGTAGATGCAGTCGCAGGGACTTGGAGATTTGCTCTCCCCGCTTGTCTTGTAGTAGTAGTAGTAGTAGTAGATGCGTCGCTGTATCGTCCTGGGTCGCTCTATTCCGCTTGTGGGCGTGTGGAACGTTCGGGACAACGGGTCACACCATGCCCAGTATCTCCGCAACACCAGCAACTAAAAGCCGGTTGTGAAGATGTTGTTCGAGCAGCCGCCTGTGCGTTGCTCACTCCGTCCGGGGCACTGCTGCTCACAGTGGTTGCGCTTGGAGTAGGTCTCGGTGCCGTCGGACCTTTCTTTCTATTGTCCGGCTTATGTTTGATCAGCGCTTTAGCAACCTGATCAATCGTAGTCGGATACTCGTTCCTTTGCTATTGCTTTGGTCTGTCGGCCTTCTTGCCGTGAGACCCTCGACCAGTCTGCTGCGCAGATCTTCCTCCACGGCCACCTTGACCGCCTCTGTCTTGGTTTCTTCTACCAGGCATCTTGCTCTGTAGTCCCTCCTACTTTGCAATGTTCAAAAATTACCTTTGTTGATCGACTGTCAGATTATCAACTCCGTAGCTGTAATGAGAGCCTCAACGCTCTAGCTACCTCTGGAGTATACTGAGCTCAAATCTACGTCGGCTATGGATTGCCTACAATAGGAACAGGTGCCAGTGATGCTGGGCTTCAACCTGCGGATGAACAGTCTCACCACTTCCTATTAGATCTTATTCTACTGCTATTCTTGCCAGAAGTCGATCAACAATGATCTCCACAAGCAGGTACAAAAAATCTCTTCCGGAAGCCATCTGCGTCAGCTCTCACCAGCTGTCGCGGCGTATGAAGCACATACACACATGTTCTTCACAAACTAGTCACAGAGCAGATCTACCTTCAATACTTATCCATCTCTGTACGTACTCGAACCGTACTTCTGTCCGTGTTCGATATCATCAATGTCCGACTTCACTGTCCGACATGTTCAACTGTTCTTTTATCTATCAAGATCCCATTTCACCAACATAAGCATCTTGAGATGTTGCTCCGACATATGGCCAACAGGACCAAAACTGAAGAATATATGGAGGCCAACATCCAAGCCCATCAACTTGAAACAGGGACGTCCTTTGGACTTATGCAACAAGTCTAAACCAACACGGCGACCCTTGCTTCAGACACATGGATGAAACGAGTCTGGCATGAGCTTGAAGGTTTGGACATCTATGTCGCCTATGACTCTCCAGCCCTCTCCCGCCTATGACTCTCCAGCCCTCTCCCTTTGCTGTACAGACGGCTCTCTTCTGATGGATCTCTTCATCAACTTGGAGGTTGAACAGGAGGAACTTTTATGGCTCAATTGGTGACAGAATTCTAACAGGAACGGGACTTGTGACTCGACCTATAGGATTCCCAGGTTGAAGTGTAGCTTGTACGTCGCATGCTTTGCACGTGCACGAACCACTACACGCCATTAATTTAGCGTAGAGAATGCTGAGTCATCAGCGTTCTGCGATAATTCTAGAGATTTGCGTGGAAAAGTGATGGATCATCGCTTTTCTCGGCAGGTATCATATAATCTTGGTCAAACCGTTTGCTTGCGTCTACCAGTTTCTACATACGGTACGTGACGGGAGCTGGTGCCATATCCAGGTTACTGCAATTCAAAAAAGGCGAATCAAAAATATTGTTCGTCGCGGAGAAACTCACCAATGCTACAGACAAGGAATTTTACACAGGATAACGAGCCATCACATTTTAAAACTGAACCATGGCACGAGGAAGCAGTGGAAGCCAGCTGTGCGGAGCAGCTTCATAGGAAAA